CATTGGAGTAATGATTCAAGCTAACATTCGCTCTGATTCTCATCTTTATCATTGTCGCTATTCCTATTATCGTCATCATCATTTTCCTTCTCGTATTCAGCGACCGTAGTAGCAGCAATAGGAGCAATAGCAGGTGTGTTGCTTTCTACGATCGCGATGTGTTTTCTTGCAGATATCTCCCCTTATTCTTTTCTATTTAGCATTCAATGGTCAATTTTAACTGCTTAATTTTTAGCTTAAAATAAAAAATAAAATAGGCTCCATTATTTCAGTCATTTGTAATTTGATTGTCTTCTATCTCATTAATATCCAATAGATAATTCAATTATGATCTATTTTGATAATCTCAATGTAATAACTATATTGTCTTCTGTTTTGTCAGTTATTACTTATTCACTCCATTTCTAATATTGAATTAGCACTATCTAAATTTGCATAGCAAAGCATCATATGTATCACTCACTTTTGCTTTATGTTTGCTAAAGAAAATAAAAAGTTGACGTGTATTTTACGTTGTTACATCAATATATATTCTATTTTGTGTCACAGAAGTCAATCAAATGTAATTAATCTACTATCAGCAGCATTTTTGAAGATTTTTTCCAACTTTTGAACAAGTATTGAGAATTTGTTAATAAATTATTTTAAGTACTACACCACTTTTTTTTTCTTTTGCAGTGCAAATGTTTGACTTGGCTAAAATTGAAAGTAATGCATTTGCATTTTTTGTAATTTTGCTTTCATGTGTGTCAGTACAGAGTGTAGAATATAGTTGTAATAAAAAGTACTGAATGAATATAGTATACATTGACTGTACGGAAAAGGAATCATTTTTGTAGTTGAAAATTCGCATTGAAATGAGATGCTGCCATTGCTTGATATCAATTCGTTGCTGTAAATGAGGCATACTTTGTTGTTATTATTGTTCATCTGCTGCAATTGTAGGTGTCCTTAATTCATTACAAAAAAAGTAAAAGGAAAAAATGTATTTCATCTGTAACATTTGCATTAACTACAATACTTACTACTACTATAACGAGGAAATTAATTATAGTGAGAAAAGCTCACCTGTTAATTTACAAATAACCTCCAAAATATGTTCCTCTCTTTAACTCTGATAATTCCATCAACACATTCATTGCTATATTATAACAGTATTCCACTAAGTATTATGAAAAAACCAATAATTTATAATGGTTATAAATAATTAAGTACGAAAATTTTATTTAAACATTGCTTAACTTTACTTGGCTAATACTAAAAATAATATATATATTATTTTTCTATTCATAATATTTTTATGATTGATATTATATCCATTTCTCGTGCGCTTAAATTATATAACGTGCAGTTGATAATTTGAATTGTTATTATTTTCAGGAATGATTATTGTTTTGATTAAATTGATGAGCGGGTATTTAAATTCATGAATTGTGGTGGCGCAGCGGTTTTGCCTTCGACATCTGTTGTCACTGAAAAATCTGTGGTGGAGTAAGTAATTCGAATTTCATGTTTATTATCTAATCAATCTTTATTATATAAAATCTTTATTATTATTATTACATTGTCATAGATGTATTTATTATTTAAAAAGATTATTTAATTTTCAAAGTTTTAAAATAATTCAACGTTTAAAATTTTGACGTAATCTCATTAACTTCATTTGTAGATCAAGTGGTATGACGTATGATGACGAAAGATTGAGTGCTCGATGGAAAGAACGACGCGCGCGATTTTTAGGCTGTATTGAAAACACGAAATTAATAGCAGAACGAACAAAACAACGTCAAGAGTATGCTCGAAAAGAGCGTCTGAAAAAAGAAAGGGCTGAAATGGAAAAGTATCGACGAAGGTACTGTTATTTATTTTTTCTTTTTTTGTATTAACATTTTTGCACATAAAATGAAACTTTAGTTAAAATTTTGTTGCCATTCAGTCAAACATTCATATTCGTTTATTTAATTTAAGACTTTTTATTTTAAAAAAAATGACGTTTTATATTTTCCAGTTATTACTTTAACTTTCCCTCTTCCTTTAAATCCTTACCTGTTTAATAATCAAATTTGAATTCATAATTTTTTGAAATAATTCGTTTTGCATTTTATTTTATCTAATTAGATTATATTAAAGAGAAAAAATTCTCCTTCTGGTCTCTTAGTCGTAGATATCTTTCGTTGGATCATTCAAAATATCATTCAAAATCGTAGATATATTTGATATTTTCGTACTTTTTCGCTCCTTACGCTTTCTTATTTTATTGCTAATAAATTATTGCCTTTATGAAAATTTATATTAATTCAACTGTATAAGACTTATATTAATTTCATCTGATTAAGTATATGTTAAGTAATATTTTAGCATGAAAAAATGCTTTTTCTGAAGTGGTGTCTTATTAAGTGTTAAAATTAATCGTGCAAATTTCTGCTTTTTACACAAATTAAGCTCATGTGATTGTTTTCTTCAGGTACTTAGAAGCTGCTATGAAGCAGCACATGGAGCAGCAAGCTAAATCTCGTGAAATGCCGTCATCATCCATGATTCACTCTGGTCTTCATCATCCGCAATTCCCTTCCGCAGCACAAGCTTATTCAGGTTGCATACAGCAAGTACATGGTTGTCCTACTCCTTTCCCAACAACTTATCCATCCGTGTCTACTTGTAAACCAAATGTAAATTTTCGATTAACCGTATTTGATATTATTGTCTACTATTTTTTAGATAAATCGACATTCAAAAAATTTTGCAATTTTTTTTGTTGCTTCTTAAGACTTTATACTACTTTAGATGCGCAAAAGACCTCATGATAGCAACAGTGAATGGACACAATATGCATCCATGTCTGTTGTTAATGATCCACATTGTGTATATCCTGGAAAAGGCTCACAAGTATTTCAAAATGGTATAAATTCAATACAGATGGCAAATCCGCCACATTATTTCAATATGGTACCAAAACAAATTCCATATGCTGAAACAAGTTATAATGAAGCGAGAGATGTAAAAGTTAGCAATATTCTGTTTTAGCTGCTTTTTTAAATTATATTAATTATTGAAAACATTTGGTTCCAATTTTTCTTTTCAAACTTGTTTTAAAGAAGATGATTTCTGTAACAGTCCTTGTTTTACAGTCAGATAAAACAATAGATCAAAGTATCTCACAACATATGTGTAATGTACCAGAACATAATGAAGCAGAGCAGTACGATCAAACGACATTTGGGGATTTAATGTCACCAGCAACGTCACAAGCTGAGCAGTCTTTCGTTTCGACTATTACCGAAGAAATGAATAGCTTGTCAGCGATACCGGAAGTAGCAGAGTCGCATGTGAAGGATTTAATGGATGAAATCAAACCGGTTAATTTTTTCGATTTCAAATTCTAGGTGCGAGCTAATTTACTTGTATTTAATTTGAGTGAGGAATTTACTTGTATTAGCTGATGGTTTAATTTCATGATTCAAGATAACCAGAATAGCTTTAGAACAAAGAATGCTATAACACTAAAACTTCTTTTGGGAATATTTTTTCTGATACTAAATAAGTGATAAGTAACTTTGAAAATTAATTTTATGTCTACGAAAACAATTGTAGTCAGTCTGCAGCATATTCATATTAATGCTGACCTTTCGTATCAGTTCGTTGGTAGTCTTTCATGTTACTAATAACCTTCCTCATTTATTTTTTCGTTAAGCAGTTTCAGGGTAATTCCCTGGATGATCTGGGAGGAAATTGTCTAGATGGAGTACTGACTAGTCATTGTGATGAAGAAGATTTGGTAACTGAAAAAAATATAGGATCTCAAGTACAGTCATTGAGTGCTGCAGTAAGTTATTTTTCAGTAGTAGAAAGTTAACAAAAGAAAGAAGTCAATACAAATGTAAGACATCAAGATTTACAACTTCAATTCATAATAAGTGATATGTGACTTGCAAAGAGTCGTGAGAACTTATGAAAAATTACTTTGAGATTTGGAGATCAAACTTTATGATACGATCTCGTAAAATCTCGAGTTTAATACATTATGACCTTTTAGATTACAAATAAACATAGAATGGTGGAATTTGTGCAAAATTTCTAAAAAAATTAAGTTGTGAAGTAGTGGTGGAATAATTATTTTCAGACTATTTCACCGATGTCAGTTTCCGGTCACACACCTATAAATGCTGTATCACCACCAACACATCTTTCTGCATCAACTCGATGTTCTGCAAATACGTTTTATGAATCGCATAGCACTGCTGTTACACCCCAGCAAAATGCTATTACATCACCTGGTAAGTAGTTGATTGTCCATTTTTGTCTTAAGTGATTTCTTCTCAGCTCTTTTCATAGGAATATAGATAATTACGAAGTCATAATGTGATATTCTGCCGGATAAATTATACTTTTTGAATAAAAAAGCTATACATTCTGTTATATCTCTTATTTATCCTTATTTTCTTCGTTTGAGAATTTTGCGATAATTATTTTTGAAGCAAGTAAGTTATGGAAAAGAAACGTTTGTTTTCCGATTATACTAAATCTTATACTTTTATCAATTTCAGCTGATCAGTCACATTTAATACAGATGGGATCACCGTTAGCAGCAGCAGTGACACCACTTCAGATGATGAGACCAGAAAATTCTTCAATGTGTACAAGTAGTGCCGGAGATAATCAGGGAGTAGCTCCCAATGCCAGTATCAGTTGTGTACCTCTGGCATCACCTCAGCCTAACTGCATCAGCAATTACAGTGCTAACATGAATGGGAATCTCATGTATAGTAATCAGGCAGTAGCTGCTGTTCAACCTGTAGTATCAATACCTCCTTCTGTTCAGTCACATCAACACGAACATATCCAACACCATTCATTTTCCCACTTTCAGTCGTATCAAAGTAATTCATGTCATCAACAGCAACAGCAGCAATTACTACATTTATTTAACAATGGATACCACATGTCTACTCGTAATGTACCACTTCCACAGTTGGTACGTTTCTTCTGAAAACAAGTGATGTAAATTGGAATGTTTGTTCTTTGCCAGCTTCTCAACTGTGCTAATCTCAGCACATATAATTATTGAAAATGTTTTCATTATTAGTTTCAGAAATGGTACTCATAGAAGCAGTCACAATCATATTTATGTGAAATGTTATTATATATTTCTATATGATTGTATAAATCTCGTTTTTATCAGTTTTTTGCAGAATAATACTCGAACTTACAATGGAATTGATTACTCAAGATTTGGTCAGTACTATAATCAACATAACCATCACACAGAGAAGCAGCCCATTATTTTTCCCAGGTTACCGTCCCAGAGTGTGCTAAATTATTCAACTGAACAGTACGATGCATATTCTATGAAGTATCCAAACGTTGGAATGTCATGTCACATGCATATGAATCAAACAAATATGGATGCACACCACACTTATCAGTGTAAGTTTCATAAAGGTCATTTTGTCATGTTTTAATTACTAGATAAGAAATAAGACAGTTCCGTTCTATTATTATTGCAATGAAGGTGCTGTAATGCAAACATTTTAACATGGTTGGCCTTGTATGCGGTAACTTATTCGCCTTCAGATCTTAATTTTATTCACTAATATAATTAGCGTACACACAACACAATGCACCTGTGAATGTCTAGTATTTCATGCGCAATTATCCCTATTTACTTCCAGTACAAGGACCGTCACCATATCAAATACCGTGTCAGCGTCACCCCTATTACGGTAGCGACATGCTACCAGCTGCTCAAAATGCGTCATACCCGATGAATCAGTTCTGAAGCTATGAATACAGAAGACTTCGTGAGCGCGTAATGCCGAAACTGCTTGCTCATGTTTTATGATTCACTCACCCCTTTTAACTGTATATATATAATTTATTTATGATTGGTACATATTTATTGTCCCTTGCAAAGCTTCCATGTCATTAATTCATTCCGTATACTGCTTTCGTATCACTTCTGCCCATTTTAATATAAACACAGATGATACTCAAAAATGTACTACCACTCTGGAAGTTTTGCAGTTCGTGAACTGTCATTGTTCGCGCTGCACACTTACTGAAATAAAGGGATTTCTCACTGATTTGCTGCTTCCATCGTAGTTTTCAGGTTCATTGTGTTAGCGTATGCTTAGAAAACTTGGGTTAACTGCCTCGACATACCTTCAAAACTCTACTTACTTGATTCGTATATATATCTCATTACAGCGAAGCAAGATTTGCTCATTTCTAACAAAGGAAAGAAGTCTATACTGACACCCGAGACATATGGATACAAAAACTTTACTCCAAAGTATACCAGACATGGGTTAAAAAGGCAAATACCACAGTAATAACTGAACCAGTACATTAGCATTAGCTGGATAGATTAAACATCCACGAAAAACAAACAGAATAGTCTCTGATAAGACGGAAAAGGAAGCAAAAAGTATTGAATTCAGAGAAAGATAATGCCTGCAAACAATTGAGTCCCTCAGAATTTTTCTAGAATTTCAAATTATCACTGCTGTTAAATAACGATCAGTAGCATTCCTACGCTAACCCTTTATTGATGAAAAACAGCGTTTAGCTTGCAGCTACGCAGCTCTACATCTACAATAGTCCCACCATCAGCAATATGATGCTGAAAGGTAAAGACAATCTACAAGCTTCATAAATGTCACAACATCATTGTGCAGCACCCACCTACGCTAAATCAAAAACCAAAACACTACGTTCCAACCCATCTACCTGCAGAAAAACAGCTTACAGGAACTTGAAATAACACAATGGTGAAGATCATTCGTAAGATGAAATCTAGATCGTTTCACGCAGTGAAAATCTGAATCGGAAAATGTTTAACAAACAAAACCTCATCATTAAAAACAATAGAATGATCCAAATCTGCAACATATAATATGTGAAATCACCAAAGACGCAATAAATACACAGTCCCCCCTCACCGTATTTCTAAAAAAAAATAAACAAGTTGAAGTGCTCCACAAAAGCAAAAAAGGAGACCAAAGAGTGAACAATTAGTTGCAACAAATAACAAGTAACAGTGCATTAAATATAATATCAAGAAAAATATCTTAGAAGAAGAAAGAAAACATCTCCTTTACTAAACAACACTATGATATATAAAAAACAGAAGTATTAGAGAATACAAACAACAAATTCGAGCATTTTTGAGAACGTAGAATATTAAAATAACAAATCCAAAATATATCTGAACATTTTAAAATAAGTGTAGATGTGTTGAAGAAATGAAGACTAAACGCTAAAATCTAAAAAGGATCATCTTTTAAAAACCTGCAGCTGAACAGATCTTTAATTCAATGAGAACATCTGCGAAACGGCTTACATGACATGCATCTGTTGCGCTTTCATTTATTAATCTGCTACAAAGGCTTCTTCATTACCAACAGGTGTAGGTATGACTGGCACAGGCCTTGGAAGTACTGGTCTTACTTTCGATGGATCCCATGCTTTTGCGAGATTTGCATTTAGAAGAGCATTGTCAACACGCTCCACCTGAAGAAATTCTCTATAACCACTTCGACGAAGTGGGAAGCTTAAATAATAGAATGCAGCATCACCATAGCATGCACTGACTAAAAGCAAACCCTATTATTGCTATCCGTTGTAAACAATTCAACAAAAGGTTTTGAATCGTTAATGTGATAGCCGATAACATAACATTCTACAATACGATCTTGTATCAATGATAAGAATAATTCCATTGCTTCATCGCACCATGTTGTTGAGCCTAAAATAGGATAGCAATTGAAAATGGGAATTTTTCCATATTCAAATGCTGAAATCCTTCAGAACTATTCAGTTTCAGTTAACATGTCCAGAGCATTTTCGCCCCAAAACCCAATGCTTCTCACATTTTTCTCAACCACATATGAAAAAACATCATCATATTCAAGAATTACGCAACATCGCTTTCGAAAAAAATCAAATCATACCATCAACCGGTAATACGTGCGCCAAACGACATTCGGTAGCTTGAAACGGCAGTGACATGAAATCAGTTCTGCAAAAAAAATCTTTCTAAAGAAAATCCAACATTGCTTTATTATTGACATCTTATCGTTAACAAGCATATTCCTTTCCTAATTTTACAATCTCTTAAGTAGAAACTCCTACTAACCGTATTTGCCGCAAATCACTTCTTGGCAGACGACTATAACCACCGTAATCTACATATTTCATAAGAACTTCATCCTCTTCAGGATAGTAATCAACTGTCACGGCACGATACCAACCGTCGTACGCAGGTGCAACACATAGTTTATCAGCTGAAGCTTTTTATCTTTAAATTAATAATTCACTAAATGAAAATATTACAGTTGTTCTATGCTTAAAGATTTTTCGCTTGAACTATTTCTCATCCCATAATAAACTTATTAACTGAAGTTTGTGAATACTATCAAATAACATGAAATTTCTCCAACCATCAATTGGTTTCGGCAAATCTGGAACACCCGCTGGTTGCATATAGACACCCAACATGTAGCAATCCAGACGCCGCAAAGCGCTAAATGAAGGATGTTGTGGCTGCTGGAGAAAGAAGTGGTCAACATCAATAACAGATGAACAGATAACTTGGAAGCGTTCACCCTCAGGCAATGTCAACTGCAAGAGATTATCAATCATAATTTCTAAGCAATTCTTCTTTCTTAATATCACGCTTTTTACTACTATTTTTTGTAAGCATATTCTGCTTCTTATTATATAGACCTTTCTGAGCTTTCATTTGACGTCGCTAACGAAAATGTTAAATCAGAGTCGACACACGAGTAAGAACTGCAATTAGAATAGAAACGGATCAACCGGACATCCTGGTATACGGTAAGAAGCGACATGAAGAAAAAGAACCATCTTTTTCTTCTCAGAACACAGCTACATTAAAGTTACATACAGCTATACACTTACTCTTAAATAAAATACATAGACAAAACAAATCCTTTTCTGTTTTATCGAAAATTTCCCAACTCATTCCTTTCATCCTGTGGCATGATGATTTGAATGATTACAATTGCTTTTTTTCCTTTCCTTACCTCCTTAAACCTCGAAATTAATAGCAACAGCATAAGCTAATTAAACAATAATATGTAATTAATAAAATCCAGTAACCACTTTTTTATACAAATAGTTTAATGTAACTTTTATCAAAGACATCTACAGAAATGTAACACTGCTTCAGTTTCGAAGCATTAATGTAGCTGTGTTATGTAAAGAAAAAGATGGCCAGAGTTGCAACGCCGCGTTTACAAAATACCAGTTAAACAATTTGCTCTGGTTTACAATGTATGGAACAGTTGTTACAATTCAACACTACTCACTATAATTTACACTAATCATTCATCAGAATCTAACTGGCTGCTGACACAATACTACAAATTCGTCAAAGACTAATATAGGTCTTTCTCCAAAAACTTCCGCTTCCCATTATCCATATCATGAACCGACCAAAATAATACTAAAAATGCCCAAGCGCAGGCAATAATATTCTTATCCTTTCGTGAAGAAAGATCTGATAAGAGATCAAAACATATAGAGGCTAATTATTACAGATGAAAGCTACGATGAAGTGATAAATTAGACAGAACGACTAAAAAATTAAAAAGATTTGGAAAATAAAAAAAAAAGACCTGAATAGGCTTCAGTGCGAAAAATGCTGGTGGTGGATCCGGAAATGGCGGTGGCAACACAGGTCTCAAATTTAATTCCGGAAAGCGAGCAACCGGAAAACGACGCCGTACCATTCTTAAACACCTGTTAATATTCTCACGAGCACCTTCGACAGCACAAATCTGATGGGTTTCCATCTAAAACTTGCGCAGTTAAGAAAAAACCTTCAGTCTTCAATTACACACAATTAAAATGGCTAATTTCTTGGCAGTCAGATACCTACTAATTACATACAACATCACGATGCAATTATATCAGCACTATAGCTCCTGAAAAGTAGTCACAAAATAGATAAACTTGAGAAATCATAAAAGATGGAATCAAATCATTAAAAATGATAGCTCAGTAATAAAAGTGTTAGAAGCGATAAATTGTGATAAAGAAATCCAACATTAAAAAAATAAATTGCTTCGATTAAAATTATATTACTTTGGATGGCGTATGATGTGGCCTGATTACCATTTTCACAAAGGTACGAATGCAAAGTTCCTGAAAGCAAATGAATCGCATAATTTCCCAAAAATTAAATTCAAGCCAATTGTATACATTTTGAAAGAGGTGATTTGAAAAACGAAAAGAAAATACATGTTTCTTAACTGCATAACATGGGATATAGTACAAAGCTAAAGTGGTATTTAAATCATGCACTAACGGCAAAGTAATGAGAGTTTATCAGAGTTACTTAAACAAAATGATAAACGAGATTAGGATGACAAATAAAACCTTGATGGTTTTTCCTTTGATGCCAATAATCAGCCCTACTAAAGTATTAGGTATTTCGAATTCGTATACAGGCATTAATTCTGGACTTCCCTGAACCATACAATCCTCTCCCGGACTCAGCGAAGAAGCTAAGCCTCCAGTCGCTCGCCCACTGTCTTGAGATCCCTATAAGTAATAAGAAGTAGAGCACACGACAGCGATAAAATGCAGTGATTTTGTCATAGTGAATGTGAATGAGTGCTAAGAAGGTGGAGTGACACCAGAATAAAACGCATAAATAATGCAGAATATGCCCTGAACATGAAGTCATCACTCTCAACATATTATTCATTCATTACACAAGTCTATCATTACATATTTCAGTATGAGCAGATTAAATAATGCAGAGCAAAGTGGCGCAGATGAAACCAGAGTATGGCTGCTGGTGGTGGTGAAGCAACCGGATGAAATATAAGGGAGACATGAGGGTGGGAGAGTAAGTGAAAAAATGAACATGCGGACAAGGACAAGTGCTCAAAACTTTGGGCAGTGCTAACTAAGTTGCAAGAAATGCTATTAGTTTGAGAGACGAAGCAAAGAGAGACACACAGAGATAGGTGCGATGATGGCGCGAATCGAAAGAGACGCTCAATTGTCTCTTACATGTTAGGAAGAAGAGAATAAAACAGACCCATAACGAAGACTGCCAGTAACCGAGATCAGGTGAGGTGCTCGATCGACCTGAATTAGATGAATGATTAGAGGTACAGTAACTGGGGAAGCCCATGACATTCATGGATACTTGCGGCATGTTACCCTGTAACATTGCGCTTTTTCTTCCAGCACCCAAACTACTATACCAAGATTGGTTGCTATTGTACATTGTTGAAGTTGCCAAAGGCACTCCATACGCTCCTTCCGGAAAAACAGGCAGTACTGCTGTCCCATTCATTCTCATGAATGGATGCAAAAGCGTAGCTTTCATAATGTTTGCATGACCTGATGGATGTGGCATTGTGCCACTAGTTACATATTCGTCGGCACTGCTTGTTTCCGTATTGACAGGAAGATTTCCTGATGATAGCGAGAGTTCCATTTGCTGATCACTTCAAGATAATGAATTTCGTCTGCCGAGCAGGAAAAATGTACGAAGTTTGAGGAAAAGCAACAGAATGCAGCAGTAATTCACGTCGTATTATTGCTGGCAAAGTATAGTAGAAAATAAGAATCAGTCTGCAAATCAGCACCATTTCATTAAATTAAATACTGTTAATAAGATGAAGATGATAAGCAAAAATGAACGCTATGCGTGCACACAGAAATGGAAACACAAACGTTTACGCACACAGGTACGCAAAGTCATCACAACCAGTGGCTATGAAGTACGAATACTAAATGCAAAAAGAGGGAGGGACCGGCCTCAGCAACTCTAGGTGAGCTGCATATGCTGTCTGCATGTTGCAGACGAGTTGAACCAACACGAGCCGTCGCATACAAAGACCGAAGATTCCAACTCGAAAGAGCACAGGCTCCGCCACTCAACGACGGCACATATAACGAATCACGTGCACCCCCTTTTTCTCTTTCCCTTGCTCATAAATTCCCTGCGTCATATTAACAAACTGGCATCGTGCCAACTGCTATCATCACTCATATCATCAGCATCACTATTACTATCACTATGACCGTCTCAGTATGCTCATCCATCATTCCAAATATTGCAATATTTTAATATTTCTTCTTCTTGCTCCCTAAATTATCACCACCCTTCGCTATCATAATTTGATTATCGTAAATTAAGGACTGATAATTCCCTAATTTGTTTACAATTGCCGCCAATCAAATTCCATTTGCAACTTAAATCTGCACTATCGGCTTAACAAATGACTGACTGTACGCCTTATTCTAACTAAACAATCTGCTGATCATCGCTAGAGCAATATTTGGTACGTTCTACCTTTACATACTCTCGCTACTCTGACAGCTCATATTCATCCACAAAACCATATGTAACAGTATTAGAAGTAACACTTCCGTTTATATGGTTATCAATGGGAAAGTGAAAGTGTGATAGAAATAAATGAAAGGCGTGTATGTAAGGATAGGATTATTTCTCATTCACTTGCATATCTCATTTCGCTCTTTAACAACAGAGTCGTCCCGTTACTCTGCGATCTATATGCCTCTCAAGCATCATCCCTCTTCATCGGTCATATTTAAACTTGTGACAAGGTATTATTCTAGTCTCACGAGTGTTGCTTGCAACAAATAGAGCCAAGCACTATTCCACCAGATATCATCAGTGAATGGTCATCTTAATTGCCTACTAACGACATGTTTTCTGCTCAAATCGTAGGCGAGTAAGTATAAAAAAGGAACTAATTTCCTCAGCACGCCTTTAAATAATTATTATTCGAAGAGCAGATACAATGAACAGCTCTCCAGATTCAAATTCATTTCCATCATTCATAGCAAACTATCTCTCACATGATCGCAACAAAACGAGAAGCAACGTCACAGAATTAGATATACAGATGTATGCATGTATTTACGAAAACGTTCTCCAAAAAACTTGGAATACAAAATAAACTTTGCGTCAGACCGCTTCGATTTTAAGAGAAAATTCTGTCAGTGAAATAAAATTCATTCTAATCTCTCAAAAACAAGAATTCAAAACTGAAAGGGATTTGCAAACAAATATTTTACAGCATTGTTTACGATTGCGAATAAAATGTATATTTCAAATAAATCAAATAAATGCCGAAAGTCGGCGACAGCAAATGTTTACCTAACAATTAACTAGCTATCAGTTTAGTTTGTACACTTTCACTGCCAAAAATGTATGTGCTTTGCTGCGCATGTAGGCAAAGACAAACATTTTTCATTCCAAGGCAAGTTATTCCTATTACACTTCGTTTGACGCCAACATGGTCCTTCTACTATAGTGAAATTAAAAAGAATAAAATCGAAAGGAGCTTTCTACAACTTCAGAATGTTCACTGAAACAAGCAAAGGACAGATAAATAACCTGAAACTTTGTAATTTCCTTCCTAATAATTTTAAAAGTCTGCAAAACCTGCAGACCATTGTCTATTTTTAATCTTGCCAAAAGAACTACATATAAGTCTTACAATACGAAATAATATATAAGATGATGATTCAGTTTTGAAAATATAGCAAGTATTTTAAAAATAGTTCATTCAGGCACTGCAATAAATATACAGATGAATAGCAGAAAATAATGAATGGAGAGAATTGATCATATAGACATGAGAGTGTGACCTGAGCGAAGAAAAATGTTTAAGGATAATAACTCTTCCTCCCTAACCTGAGACAAACCAATAAGTGCACTAGAAAACATTTGCAATATCACATACCCTCTCTTAATCCTTATTGCCTATCACACTACATCCTGTTTTCTCTGATAAATGTCACTACCTCATACAAGAAGGTGTTTCATACTATTATAGCTTTTCGCGGGAGATAAATTGCTCAACAAATACTAATATTTGAAATATTCCCGTAATTTGCTGTGTCATTGCATTTCCGTACTATTTTTTTAAACCCTATGACGACCGCGAGCAGTAGCAACTCAGATTAACAAAAACTTAGATTGTAACCCGAAATCTCCATTAGATTGCTAAGTAGAAAGTAGGTGGCTCCCAAACAAGAAAAAAAGAAAAAGTAAAATGTAACTTTTTTTCTGGACATATTTGAAACAAAATGAAGCAAATTCATCTTGCGATCAGCTTTAAAAAATGCCAAGTTCTCACAATGCTAAAGTAATTTTTGAAACTTTTGCGTAAAAAAAGAAAAAACTAGATATTTTTTATTAAATAACTAATATTTCAAAAATGTGCCTCAAATAATGAAACCAGCTGCAAATTAAAATATTGTGCTGATAACGCACAAATGATAAATCCTTGTCGAAATGATGCTGAAGTTCTCATTTCCATTTATAAAAATGATTGTAGAAGAGTGAAGAACGAACCTCACTGTTTGCGATATTCGCAATTTCATAATCAATCTCTTTCGTACGAGAACAATCCCTACTCATATAATTTGCTTTCTCCTTTGCACATGCGTTATCTGTTTCAACTTTTTCCAAAATTAATGAATAGTCCGTATCTTTCTTTATATTGGAAATCTGCAATGTGAAGGGTCTATAAATCTAAAAAAAACAACCAGATTTGATCCTAAATAATAACAGTCACTGAATAAACTTGTTGAAACGATGTAACAAGCTTTACTTTATTGGAGCCGTTGAACCGACGTAACAAAGTTCATTAATGCACCAAATTCAAATGTGCACAAACATATAGAAAATATAGAGTGAAAAACATATGCCTTTAAGCAAAGCATACAATTTTTGAAGACCCAACCCCCAACTACTATCAACAACATATTACTACTAAGGTGAAAGCCATTTGGAATTAATTTTCTTTCTATTGTAATAGAACATAAAATAAATGATAAACCCGTTTTGCAGTAATGTTACTAAAAACAAGATGTGATTAATAATCTTTTTGTAATACCTAAACAATTCAAAGGAGCTTATACTAACATATAAGCTCCACGAGACAAAAATGATTTGTCGATGAAAAAGATGAAACGATATGCAATCTAATATTCAGTCCCTGACCAAACACATCTTGCACAGCAAAATACATCAATAACATAGTTAGTTTTCAAATCATTGTTTGCTATTCTATGGAAGAATTATTTTGTTAATGATTCAGAAAATTATTATTAGATATTTGATGACAATTTCATGGGCAGTTTGAAACTGATAGCTAGAAGAGCAGTTATTCAACCTGTTCAGCAGTGCTAGAAAAGCTTCTATAAATGCTACGCAAAAGAGATCAGTATATCTGATTGTGTCGAGGCATATATCCAATAGGCAGTGCTCAAAGCATAAAATCTGACCACTGCCGTTAATTTCAATAAGATGAAGTGACGATCAGTACAACAAATCTGAGCGCGGGACAAAGACGGCCATAGTGTCGGATTAATAAGGCAAAAAATATTGAACTTCCATAATCTTTACATATATACGGAAGTTCACATATATGTGCAGAAGGAATTCATTTCCAGTCAAAAAGTACTTAAAAAAAGAGCAAAACTCACCAAAACTTCGTTAGCATAGAAAGGACTGTCGCCAGGTACATTATTTGATTCTGGTAAACACCTAGTTGAAACTTTTTTAAGAACTGACTCTTTACACATATTTTTGTCTGTTACAACATTATTTAACTCGGCAACTGGCACATCAGCAAGCTTTTCGCCTTGGAAATTACCATCTAGCACATGACATTTACCGCTAACATTTATGTCCTCATTACAGACTTGAGCTGCCTTCACATTCAGTACAATAAAATTGTCATCTGAAGTCACTTTGTGTTCTAGACCATGATAATTGTGCTGCTGCTTTGAACTGTCTTTCCTGCCAATGCTTGTATTAAAACAGGACCACAAAATTTTAGCTCAATTTGCAACTCAAGTAGTAAGCTGACTAAATAAGATGATAAAAAATAATCATTTCAAGTCATACGAATTCACTTAGCTTTTCCAATAACACTTAAATTTATAGTATGGCGACTCTACACTTATATTTAAAAGAGCTTTCTACAGATTACCTATTTCTCATTGAAGTTTTCCAGTAATAAATACTATTGAAAAATTAACCTTGCTAAGTCTTTCATATTTCGTTTTCGCCTTATATACCAGTAAGCAATAGCGGCTGCAAGGCTACTTGTGATCACAATAACAGAACGTTGTGAAAAAACTTCCATGAGCCCTTGGGGTAACCTTAAAAAAAGCCATACTGAAAGCCATTTAGTACAAGCAAAATGATTGATATCCAGCTAAAGATTAAACAATTCTTTTCGACGGATGCTGTAAAATCATAAACATATTCATAAAAGTCATTGCAGTACTATTTCATACAATTTTTACTGTTCTATACAAACAGCCCTCAAATATGTTTTACAAGAAATACTAAAATGCCTTAGTCATGTTCAAAATGTGACTATGAAAAATGAACGTACCCAACAGCAATTTGTATTTCCAAAATCTGTTGCTATTTTGATAATGGTTCTTCTAAAACTAGTTGAAAAAATACTACTTGCTGTCCTTCTTTTTTTGATGAATAAGTCGAGCAATAGATCAACGATTTTATGAGCTGTAATTCGTGACTGCATAATTATATGTATTCATCTGTTTTTGCGAGGAAGTAAAAATATTTTTCCGTGTGACACTAGATATCGTAATTCGATAAATGCTTTTAATGATGACCAATGGAATAAGTAATCACAATAGCATAGAAGCATTTCCAGTAAATGAAATGACTCAAAATTTTGCTTCAGTTCATAACTTACATATGTAAGTTATGAACATATAGATGTCGAAAAACAAGACACTACACGAATCCAATCATAGAATAACATAAACAAATAAATCAATGAAGTTAATTATTGCAGCAATTGCCTATCATCCTAGCAGATACTTTTGGGAAGCATTTATTGCATTATATATATATATATATATA